AAGCAACCCAGCAAGACCATAGAAGAGTATTGTGAGAAGCTGTAGACAAGAGTAGATGACTTTAGGACCTAGGAAGGTCATGATGGAGGCGTCATGGGCAGCCACAGCAAGCTGAAATGGAGTCCTTCTCCGGGGGTCTGTTAACAAAGCCCCTAGGGCTCACAGCTTTAAAGTGTGGCCCCGTGGAAGGAAATGCTTGTCCCATTCTGCTTTCTCAGCACAGCTTGGCATGGCTGGCTGGGGTGGAGAGGGAAATGGCTTACTCTGGCTAGTCAAGCCAAGTCAGTGAGTCACCGTTCATCTTCCTTTTTTCCCCAGTGCATCAGCAGAAATTATGGGGAGCACCTATAATTACAGGGAGCACACTCTGCGTGGTGCTGCTGGCAGGAGAGGAGAGACCGGCAGGATTTGGGCCTTTGTCAATCCAGTAGTTTGGGGATAATTTAATTTCCTCTCTGATCAGCATCAACACAAAGGTTGGAGACATAGGATGGGTGCCACTCTTCCTCACCCAGGTAGAGTGATAGTAACTGTTGCCTGGAGATGTAAGAAAACCCAGAGCCCCCAAGCTCTCATTAATCTCCCTCCACACTTCAGCTCCCTGCTTCTCCCTGATAATTAACATCGGAAAAAGATAAAGTATTTGAGTTTTTCCAACAGATGAGAACCTCAGAGTTGGAAGGAAGAAAGAACAAGACCGGGATGAGGTTTTTTTGTGTGTGTTGTTGTTTATTTTTTGGAACAACAACGACAACAGAAAACCAATGAATTCCTTGAAGGTTTGAGTACATAGATGACTAGGTGTCCAGGATAGCATTGGCTATTACTTGAATGCTCACTTCACTTGGCAAGTCTTAGAGTAAGTGTGTTCCCAGCCACTCATAAAGGAGAGCCACGGCATTAGCAAACTCAGCTAATGTCCTAAACTTTTGGGAGTAAGAGAGTGAGGGAGGAAGAAAGAAGGAGGAATAAGAGAGCTACATAAAGGATCTTTTTTAATCTAACACATTCAGGATCCAAAGATATGCATGATTTATGCAAATAGCCTCGTCATGTATTATCCTGAATCTGACTGTATCCATCCTGTCTCAGGACTAGTCTTCCCACACTGGAGACTGATAAAACTATTGTTAGAGACACGGGACGGGTCTTATTTGTGTCATCTGGGTGAACAAGTTTTAGTTCCCTCTGACCCCAGTGGGAGTGTAGTCTATGAAACTGATATGCAGCCCCCACCTCTCTTGCCATAGCCAGTGTGTTTGTGTGCCCATCATGCCAGTTTTAGAGTGCTGGAGGATCGAGACGGGCTAACATCAACCAACAGTCATTTTGCCTGCTTGGTTGTTCAGGGGCTCTTCTTCGGTGGATCCTTTCTGGTGGGCATTAACACAACATACAAATTCACATCTGTGCCCACTCCCACATATCCTGCATATGCCTCTACTTCATATCTGCTTTTCTTTCCATCTTCTGTCTGGTCAGCCAAGATGTGCACAGTCCAGGATTCTGCATACACTGGCCACTTTTATTTCCATACAAAGTCAATCATTAGTGGTGATATTCATAAATCTGTCCATTGAAAAATTTCCCCTCTTTTTTTTTTGGCTTTCAAGACACCCCCAATTGACCCAAGTGTGGCTGTGATGCAACTGCCATTAATTTTTGGCTTACCTCCCCCTATTGAAGTGAACGTAAACTAATCTTGGGCTTTTTTTTTTTTTTTCTTTCTCCTCATTCATTTATGCAACTATGGATCTAAGGGAAAGACACTGGCACAACTGTCATGAGAGATTTGGGGGTCTGGGCTACCTTTTCATGCGTCTTATACCTGCTCTCTGATCCTAAATAGTCTCAAGACTGGATGTATCACTCTTACTTCACAATGAACTGCTTTGCGGAGTGTCTGACTTTGTGATTTGATGGTTTGAAGGAATCAAATAACAATGGGCAGTCCTGGGTGGTAGGCCTTTTGGTGCCTCGCATTTAAGGTTTCTGTCTCCAATAGGGCCCACTAACAGACAAAGAACTCTTTCTCCAAAAATACATACTTCTCTGCTGTCAGGATTTCTTGGAATACATTCTGCATTATTCCATTAAGTGTGCCTTCACTCATGATGAACTTTGAATTTATGTGTGAGAATAACTTGATTTACCTTTAATCTGGAAATAAATTTTGCAGAGTATAGAATGCAACATCTTGAGATGTAGTTTTACTGTCTTCTGGCTTCCACTGTTATAATGGAAAAATCAACTGTCAGTCTTTTGCTCCTTTTAAGGAAATGCTTTTGTAAATTTAGTATTTGCTACTTTTAATGTTCAATAATTGTCTTTGGCTCTATGAAATTTCATTCTGATGAGTTTAAATGTGCATGTCTTTTTATTTATTTATATCACATCACATGCTATTTATGTTGTTTCTTGAATCTGAATTAGTATCTTTATCAGTTTAAGGCTGTTCCCAGTTATTTTCTCTTTAAATAATGACTCTGTCTTATTTTGTGTTTTCCTACTGTAACTCAAACAGTGTTCTACACTTCCTCACTTCATTCTCCACACCTTTTCTACCTTCTGTGTTTTCTTGCTTTTCTGTGTCTTGGTTGCAGTATAGATTTCTTTTCATTTATCTTCCAATTTACTAATTCTTTGTTATTCTGTAGAGGTATGCTTTTATTATCATGCTTTGTTTTTCTTTTTGTGAGTACTTTGAGGGGAAAATGCTTGGGAGAGTCTGTTTATGGCCACAGATTTCCAGCAAAAGCTTCTTGTTATCTTTTCTTGTATGTTTAGTGACAAGATAGCCAATTCCATGGTTCACAGAGATCAGAGAAAGGCATAGGTGGGTCCAGATCTCATGAGCTGACACCTCCCAAGCCCCAGGCACACCCTGAGCCCTGACCTCTTTCTTTCTGTGCTGGTTTGACTGCATTACCGAGCAAGGGTATGTGCTACATGTATAGAATATATAACATTTTAGTGCTTTTTTGTTTCAGATCTTGATTGTAGAAATCTGGGATAAGGTCTGAAATTCTGTGTCTCTGACAAGCTGCTAGAGGATGCCAGTGCATCACCCACAGACCACACTTTGAGTATCAGTGATATGTAAACTTGTGAAAGTTGCAAAGGGTAATTCTGAACATCTTTAGTATACAAGTCTCTTGCTTTTGAATACCCAGCTACTGTCTTAGTTTGGATACAGGGAGCTTATTTAGAAGATGAGCTAAGGAAACCAATAAAGAGAATTCTAGTTATCTTTATGGACAGCTGGGGCTGTGACCCACAGTGGGCCCTCTGAGAAGCCTTAGTATTGTCCCACCAGTAGACAGACAGGCTGGGGTATTTTTCTACCAGAATGTCCCCAACAGTCCCTTCATCCTTTGGTAGAATTTGTCTCTGAGATGCAAGCTCTTGAGGTGTGAAGGTGACAAGTGTTGGGCTCTGACATAGAGGCTGTGAATTTCTGTACCCAAAGGTGCAGGAAAGAGCATAAATACTGTTGCCTCAACTTCTGTTCATGAAATGCAATGCCAGGCACTGAAAGCTCAGAGTACTAGGCATCTGGCTCCCTTCCTGTACAATAAGATGGTGACCTAGAGTCTACTCACTGAGGGTGGCCGTATATTCAGGAGCTGGCCTTGCTCTGGGTGATGATCTTCCATGGCAACCCTGCATGTGTGGTGGCTCTGAGAAACTCAGGACAGTCCCCAGTGGCCAGCTTTTTCCTGGTCTGAGATCAGCCAAGAATTTGGTGACTGCAGACAAGGAGTAGTTTGAAGCTACATAGGTCCTAAAAGACCAGCCCCCTCCTCAGTCCACCTTGCTTGAGGCTTCTGCTGTTAACCATGATATCCCAGCTTGCCATTTTATATCACTGGACTACAGTCATTGGCTCTAGGACATGGCCCTAAGGTTTCCTTCCTCAGAGTCAGTATCTGTATTTCTTGGTTATTGCTCTTACAAGCTCAGCATGCCCTTCTTTTTAAGGGTATATGGATCACAACTTGCTGTAATTGACATTTATTCATATAAATACTCAGCGAATTTTCTAGTAGCAGAAACTAGAATTACTCAGAGTGCTGGGCAGGTTTGGCTTTAATGAGGCAGAACTTCCTTCCTTCTCTGTGTGAATAAAAGGCATGGACCTTGGTAGAACCTGTCAGAACACAGAGTGTAGCAGAAACCTTAGTTCCTAATAGTAGGGACTTGGGGTCATCTGTAAACTGGTTGCAGCTTGTAGGGGGAAGCTTGGTGACTTCTGATCTCTTGTCTCTGGGTCTCTGGACCTATAAACAGGAGTCATAGGTGCAAGTGCTTCTGCTGAGAGGTAGACTGAGTCCACGAAGCTGGAAGTACAGTGTGGGGAGCGGCTGAAGCTGGAGATTGATCAGATGTGAGGGGCCAGAGCAAGGCCAGCCTCAAGAACACAGAGCGCCGAGGGGAGTCACAAAAAGAAGCTGCTTTAGTCTCAAGAACTCAGAGCACCTGAGGAAAGTCAGAAGAATAAGCTGCTCTAGACTCAAGAACACTGGGATCCTGGGGCAAGCTACATGGATAAGCAGCTGACCTCCAGTGTGTAGATAAACACTCTGCAGCTGTTGGAGTCCATCTTCCTTTTGCTCCCCCTCCTTTTTCTCCTCCTTCTTCTTCCTTCCTTACTTGTTCTCCCATCAGGAGAGAGGGCTCCATCTGGCCTCAGTTTGCTGTATTCTGAGTCTTGTCCTTTTTTTCCATCCTCTCACTGTCCTCACCCTGGGAAATTTGAGAGCAGATTCTGATTGGGGTCACTATACGTCTGGTTTCTCTGACTCAGGGTCAGACCGTGGCTTAGATTTTCTCCTGGGTCAGTTTACACATAAAAGACTTCAGTGCTGGGAAGCTTTGAAACAACACCAACATAATGTCCAGAGGTAAAGATGCTCAAGGCAGGGCAAAGGATGGAGGGGCGACCGTCTGGGCCTTTGTCCTTACATGTTTTCATTTTGACTTTCTCTGCAGAATTAACCATGGCAGTGCCCTTCCGGAGGCACATTGTGGTTTCAGGTGAGGGTCCAAGGCAGTCCCTTTCAGCAGTGCCATACAGGGTAGTCAGAGAATTGCCTGTGACTACTGGAATGAGTCAGAAGTGAGATGACTCCAGGGAGACCAAAGAATTAGCCGTGGGAAAGGGTGGAAGATATTTTCTGAAAAACTTCTAAAGAATGAGATCTATAGAAATACTGGTTTTTGGATCCAGAAGAGGCTGACTTTTCTGATGGAAGGAAGTCACCAAAGATGTACTGAATCTCAGGGCTGGGTGGTGAGTGGTGGGATGACCACTTTGTAAGCATCAGTTAGAAGATTCCAGTCTCTGTTGCTCTTAAAACTCCAGTTCAGAGATGCCATGTTGAAACAAAATCTGAAGGCCACTTTCTGCATTATGTTCCCAGTCATAGTTAATTTATATCCCTGTCTACATCTGGAGACTCTTGAGAAGGACAGAGGGAATCCCATGTACCTGGGACTGGAGGATCCTCAGTGTAGCTTGTTCTGCACTAAGGTGGGGGAGGAGCCTGTGCTGCAGGTCAATGTGAGTACAGAGGAAAAGGGTCTTCTCTTGCCCAACTGGAAGAGATGAGTCTTTATTTTACAAGGTGCCATTCTGGGGAGATTCTGACATTAGACTCTTTTAAAAGATAATCTGTTGATTAGCTTTATGCATATTTGTATTTTGATCTCTTTGGAGATCTCCATATCTGCTCCATGTTTTATAAAAGAATAAAAAGTAGGAGATAGTTTGAATTTTGCTTCCTAAATTCACTTTTTATTTCATTTCACAAAAATGATTTGGCAAAGGATAAAGCTTTTATATTTATCCTTAACTTTGTAGAACACACACGCACACATACACACACACATACACACTCATGTACACACACACACTGTAAAACAAAACCAAGGACAATTTTAGCAGTGGATGAGTTTATTATACCATCTTATTGACAAAGAATAGTTTGCAATTTTAAGTGAGTAATGATAAATCTCTATAGCAAATATTTTAATAGCTGTGATTTTTCCATTATTAAAAAATACTATATATTACAGCAAGACAATTAAACTGTGTCTGGATATGATGGGAGTTTTTTTTGTTTTTTTTTTTTTTTTTTTTTTTTACTTTTTCAATAAATAAGCATAGGCAGACATTCAATATGATGAAAAGATATAAAACAGTGGTTTTCAACTAGGGATGATTTTGCTCCCTGAACATTTGTCAAAATCTGTGTATTTTTGGTTGTCACACTAGGGATGTGGTGTGCTACTTTCATCAAGAGGGTAGATATCAGGAATACCATTAAACAGTAACAATCTGGAATGCACAGCAAAGCCTCTGACAACAAAGAACTATCTTGCCCAAAATGTCAGTCATGTGGAGATTGGAGAAACCTGATATGAAATAATTATTTTTCCATTCAGAATTCAATATTCTCTGGGTATCTTCATTTATCAGTAAATATACAATACCAAAAACAGTTCTTCATATTCTCAAAAACTTGTATGTCAACATCTTCCTCATGTTAAGGATTGATAAAATTTGTGCCTTGAGTTACCCACCATACTCTTAATGCATGTAACAGTATTTGGGATGTCTGATTCTTAATGCCATGGTATGAAATGGAGGTCTCCATATCTGCTCTAGAGAATGGGGAATACAGTCTTAGACATGAAATATCAAAGTGCAAGGAATGTGGAACAATTCCTATGGTTACATTTTTAACTGGTTCTCCTTCTCACTTTTCAGAAAAGGAACATAAACTGTCTTTACCATTCTCCGGAGCCTGAGAAGCCCTTTCTCTTTTACCACAACAAAGTTGGCAACACCTCAACCTTTGAGTCTGTGGCCTTCCCTGGCTGGTTCGTTGCCTCTGACTCCACAGGAGAATCTTCAGTCTTTATGACCCAAGAAGTGGGGAAAACCTATGTCACTGCATTTGTGTTGACTACACTGAGCTAAGGTCTGTTGAGTTGGGGGTTGCTCCGCATGCGGAGAATATTGCCTTGACTTCCTCAATCTTAGCTTCCAAAATGCTTTGGACATAAACATTGTCACAATAACCTACCTCACAAGGGGACACAGAATTTCCACAGTTGAGTTCAATTTTCAGAACTAGAAATCAAGTTAAATGGTGAATAAGCATAAGAATCTTAAACTATAAAAGGAAGGGAAAATGTGTTATTGGGCTTTCTGCCCAAAGCTATCTTGCTGCCCCTGAGTATATCTATGAAATGACTTAAATGTTAATCCACAGTGCATGAAAAATGGCCATGGATGCTGGGCATGGTGGTGCACGCTTGTAATCCCAGCACTTGGGAGGCTGAGACCAGAGGATGTTACAAGTTCAAAACCAGCCTGGGCTACAAAGTAAGCTCAAGGCCAGCCTGAACTGCATAGCGAGACACTGTCTCAAAAAGATAAAAAAAAAAAAAAAAGAAAGAAAGAAAAGAAAGTAAGAAGAAAAAGAAAAACGGCCAAGGAAAATTGTTGGCCTTTGGCATGGCCATATAGATAACTATTGTACCCTTGCACAAACAATAAAAAAGCTCTGTTTGTTGTACTTGTTCATAATATGCCTATTAAGAAATGCAATGGTGATTCACTTAAATCCAGTTCTCTGAATTTTCAGATATGTTGCTCTGTGGTGTTGAATCAAGACTTTTTGGATCCTGACAAGAAGAAGCAAATACAGAAGTTGCAACAAAAAAGAGAGATCAAAGAAGAAAGCTGAGCTCTTCCTACATTGTATTCTCATGATGGTTTGGTTGAAGAACTGCTAATGTTTCTGAAGCCTTCATCCAAAGAATTACCACTGGATGTCAGGAGAAGATAAATTTGTGGAATAAATTCTTTTTTTTCATTTCAGCTTCCCTATTGTGAATGGAATGGCTTTAATGGAATGTCATGGTCATCATATTGATTTCTTGCATTTATAAAGAGGTTTATAGTTTGCATAGGAGCCTCACGTGACATCTCTTATCCTTAAGAGGAACCAATGAGATTGTCGGGGAGTGTGTATCTTCTATTTACCCATCAATGGGGATTAAGGTTGTTTCCATAACATGACTATTGTGCTTAATGCTGCAGTGAACATGGGAGAGCGGAATAGATTAAAGTTTTAGCATAAGATCTGAAACTATAAAACTGCTAGATGAAAATGCTGGGGAAATTTTTTATGACATTGGTTTAAGCAAGATTTATTGGACCTGAAACCAAAAGTATAAGAACCAAAAGCAAAAATAAACAAGTGGGATTATAATCAAAGTGAAAATTTTCTGCACCACAAAGGGTACAGAAGTAAGAAGGAAATCTATAAAATTAGAGGAAATATTTGCAAATCATATACCTAGTAAGAAGTCACTATCCCAAATACATAAGAAAGTCACAACTCAATAGCAAAAGCCCCAAATAAATGAATTAAAAATGGGCAAAGGAATTTTTTAAAAAAATCTATTTCAAAGACAGTAGTAAATGAGAAAATAAAAAGCACAATAGCAGCATACCGGCATCACAAACATAAACAAACCAAAGTAAGAACATTTAAAATGATGCAGGGTTTCAAGACAAAATAATATGAATTAAAAATGGTTGTTATATTATATTACATATTGTAATCTTCAACTATGTTGCTCAGATCACCAGGTGTAAGAATGGTTGAAACCATTAAAGAGAATAAGAAAATAATTATTAGATAAAACATTAGAGATAATACAGAGTTTCACTAGACAAGATGCTAGCAATTCACCATGGTAGTTCCGTTGCATATTGTTACCTTCAAATCCGTTGCTCAGATTACCAGATATAAGCATGCAAAATTGGTCAGAACACAAAAAATTTTAAGCATTAACTGTTCCTTTCAATATACCATCAGACATCAGCAATACATTTATTGCAGCTATTTTTAAGAGAAAAAATAAAAATAAAATAACAATAGAGTTTCAAAACAGGTTAGTAGGAGAGTTACAATAATTAATACATTGTATATTGTTATCTTCATAGTGGTTATTCAGAGTACAAGATGTAGGAATGATATCTTGTCCAAACAACATTAGCACAAACCTTTCTTTTCAATGATCTAAGAGAAACTGGCTGTATAATTACCTTAACTATCTTGTGTATAAATATATTTTTTCTTTTTCTCTTTCTTCCTGGGCACATAAAAATGAACAACAGATATTTTAAATATGTGCAACATTTATTAATAATCAGAAAAATTCAAATCAAAAGGCATACCTGTTAGGATACTTGTTATATTTAAAAACAAGTATTAGTAAGGATGAGGAGGAACTGCAACACTTGTGCACTTTATGTAGGAATATGAAAGATACATTTGCTATTGAAAACATTAGCGAGGTTACTGCAAAAGTTAAAAATAAAACCACCATGTGACCCATAAATTCCACTTTGGACTATAAGCCTCTCAGAGTGCTGAAATTCAGGTCTGTGCCACCCTGCCTGGCTTATGACTGCATCTTTGTTATTGTTTTTTATTTTTGAACTTAGGTCTTGATATGCTGCCTAGGCTCATCTCAAACTACTGAGCCCAATAAAAAGTAGAATGAGAGCTTCTCTAAATTGGAAGGGGAACAAGAGTTGTAGGGAACAGGAAAGAATGGATGGAAGTGGGCAAAAGAATTAATATGTGGCATGTACCTGTGCAAACTCCCTACAATAAATGTAGTCATTATATGCTACAAATATGTACTAATGACATTAATAACAATAATAGTATTTTAAAAATTTAAAAATACCCTGCTGAGCTCAAGGAATCTTGAGCTGGTACTATAGATGTGTGCCACCATCCCTAGCTTATGACTCCATTTTTACCTGAATTATTTTATTACTTTTACAATCTTTTTAAAAATTAGCTTGAATTTCATGTTTTTTGATACCTATGGTTCATGTCTGCCATACCTTCTTGTTGGTCTATGCCTTTTATTCCCCCCAATTTTTTGATCTTTGAGCCATTATTGTCTTCCTTAAGTTTATTGTTGTTTATATATACCATTATTCCACCACTTAGAGCCTCATTTGCTTTTCACATTTATTTATTTATTTATTTATTTATTTATTTATTTATTTTATTTTAAGGATAAAAGGAGGGAAACATTAACAAACATACAACATTTTACAACATATCACAAGCACAATACAGACAATACAGAGTTACAAACAAAGTGGTAGGGAATTAACAATGGTGGTTGTATTACATATT